GTTGGGATGAAGTAGATGGTGCAGCTCCACCCCGTCCAGTGCAGAATGGCGATGCGTTGCCATCGTGCCCCACGTATTCCAACTCGCACATGACAGTAGCACATAGAACCAATCTAGAACCGGTAAACTCAAACGATTCGGATCGACAACAGCAGGAGATAATGATTTCTGTGGTCAAGCATGCTATTGATGAAGAGGCGCTGCCGGTTAATTCGTCTTGGTCTGCTCCGTCTTCTCTTGCTGGTGTTTCTCCCAACGCGACAAGTTTACCTGTCCGGCGTCCAGTCACACGTCAGCAGACCAGGGCAGCTCGACGCTACACCCAACCAACTGTTTCTGGTGTACCAATGCATACATCGAATTCTGTGGTACCATCGACTTCCATCCCGCTCACCGCAGTGGCAGAACACGGTACCAAGCAATCTCAAGATAAGCCAGTTCGTGCTCAACGACAACGAAAAACTGCTAGACGTCGTACAGTGATCGGTGTAGGAAATGTAAGTGGCATGAATGATGTCCTATGCCTCTGTCGTGAACTAGTTACCCAAATCTGTTTTTCCCTCGTTTGCTTTTTCATTCACTTTTTTGGTTGCTGCTAATTTTGATCAACAGAAAATTATTACACTGTTGTAAACAAATGGATCACAGCTCACGTTTTCTGGTTCGTTTTTTTGAGAGATGTAAAAGTAGCTGTGGATTTTTTTGGTGAACAATGCAAATCCCGTTTTAATGTGCGCATACGTTTAGTAACAGAATGGAAGCCATTTTTTACTGTTGCCGCAACCCATGTTACGAATATCACAATGGCTGTTACGTTATGATCACCTTTATCGCGATACACCACTTATAAGTAGTACTTATTTATACATCGTTTAATTTCTGTCCATAACACCACATTTGCCTGATTTATCACGCTTACTCATATTCACGGGATCTTTTGAATAGCGTGGTTCTGTTTGTGTATAACATTTTCAGCTACTCATACAGCAATTAAATGTCTGAATCAATTCAGTTCACGTTGGAAACTGAAGAAAATGATATTTTAGCCTTCCTAGACGTGGCACTCCTCCGAAGAGACGATGGTTCTCTACAGCGACGAATATATA